GACCAGGATAAGATCAGCCATGATCATGTTAAGTGGTGCTGCGGGCTTGAAAGGCTGAATTGCTTACTACAGCACCTAATTCCTATTTTCTTATTTTCCTATGTTCCTCTGGACAAAAGAGCTGAATTCCAGAGGTGAAATTCACTCACTAACTGAGTGTGACATAAAAGAACCCTAGCAAGTGGTAGTTAAGGGGAATCAAGGGAAAACTCTCCACTAGTTGGACATTCCTGGCAAAAAGGAAGATGATTGTGACTGTTAGAGGTCAGTTATCACAGCTCCAGGATATCTCTACAGAAATTCCTCAGTTTAGTGGCCCAGGTCCAAGCATCTTCAGCTGCTACTTCAATGACTTTCCCTCCATCATAAGGTCAGAAATGGGGATTTTCTCTGATGATATTCGGCACCATTTGCACCTCCTTAGACACTGAAGCAATCCATGTTCAAATGTAGCAAGACCTGGATAATATTCAAGCTTGGGTTGAAAAGTGGCAAATAACATTTGCACCACATAAATGTCAGGCAATGATCATCTCCATTAAGAGACAATATAACCACCGCCCCTTGACATTCCTTGGGATCACAATCACTGAAAGCCCCACTATCAACATCCTGGGGCACTGTTGACGAGAAACTTAACTGGACTCGCCATATAAATACAGTAGCTGCAAGAGCAAGTCAAATTCCAGGAATACCAGGGTGTATAATTCACATCCTGACTCCCCAAAGTTTTTCTACCATCATCAAGCCAGAAGTCAAAAGTGTGATATAATACTCCCTACTTGCCTGGAAGAGTGCAGCCCCAGCAACATTCAAAAAGTTTGAAACCATGAGGACAAAGCTGCCTGGTTGAATGGCACCACATCCACAAACATCCAGTACCTTCCAAACCCATAACCACTTCCATCTAGAAGAAAAACACCACTTGCAAGTTCCCCTCCAGGCCCTCACCATCCTGACTTGGAAATATGTCACCATTCCTTCAGTGTTGTTGAGTCAAAATCCTAGAACTCCCTTCCTCATGGCATCATGGATCTACCTACAGCACACCGACTGCAGCACTTCAAGAAGGCAGCTCAAGGATGGACATTAAAATGCTGGCACAGCCAGCAACTTCTGTGTCCCAGAAGTTTCTAAGAATAAGCCACCTAACATCTAGAATTGGAAATATATTACCATTCTTTCAGTGTTGCTGGTCAAAATCCTGGAACTCCTTTCCTAATGGCATTGTGGGTTTACCTACACCAGATGGACTGCAGCAGTTCAAGAAGGCAGCTCTCCACCACCTTCTCAAGGGTAGCTAGGTATAGACAATGAGGCCTGGCCCAGCCAGCAACACCCATAACCATGAGTGAACAAAATAAACAGATATGTCAATCAAGGAGTGCCACCACAATTAGTTTGGTCAAAGATCTCAGTCCAGGTCAATGGACATGATCAGTCAGCTGCTTAGGATGAGCAGGATCAAGGGATCCATATCATTACAGTCTGGCAACTGGATCATGATCATGCAAAGATCCAGACATACGAGCATATGATGTTACAAATTATGAGTAGAAGTAGATAATTCAGCCCCTTGAATTACACAACCATTTAAGAGGAAAAATATTCTCCGCATCGCTATCCTAAAAAGATGAGCATTTATTTTAAAACTTGCATTCCCTCATTCTGTACTCACCCACAAGAGGAAACATCTTTTCCAGTTCCACTTTGTCAAGCCTATTCAGGATCTTATCCACTTCAGTCAACTCATCTCTCATTCTTTTAAACTACAGTGGAAACAAGCCCAGCATGTCCAATCTTTCCTTGTAAGACAATCTACTCATTCCAGGCATAAATCTAGTAAACCTCTGAACCACTGACAATGCATTCACATCCTTCTTTAAATAAGGACACTAAAAGTACACATAGTATTTGACTTCAATGTCTTGTATAATTGAAGAATGGCATACTTATTTTTATGTTCAGTTCCTCTCGTAATAAAGAATATTGTCTGACTAGCCTTCTTGATTGCTTAACTGTACCTGAATAAAACCTTTGTGACACGTGCACCAGAATACCTAAATCCTTCTGCAGTTTGAATACTGCAGTTGTTCTTCATTTAATGCTTCACTTAATGCGCTGCCTTGTATTCTTCCTACTAGTATGAGTATTTTCAGTTTCCCCATTATACTCCATCTGCTATATTTTTACCCACTCATTCAGGTACCTGTACCTATCTATAATTTCCTTTTGTATCCTTCACATTACACTTCTCTTCCCATCTTGCAAATTTATTTACCATGCTTTTGCTACCCTTGCCAAAGTCATTGCTGTAAATTGTAAATGGTTGAGGCCCCAGCACAGCCCCCTGCAGGACTTCACTTGGCACATCCTATCAATCAGACAAAGTCCCATTTATACACATACTCTTTTGATGCCAGCAGTCAATCTTCTATCCAAGCCAATATGTACACTACAGCACGAGCTTTAATTTTCTGCAATAACTTTCGATGTGGCAATATATCAAATGCTGCCTTATAATCCAAGTAAAGCATGCCAGCAGGTTCCCTGTACAACCAGTGTATGTTACTTTTTCAACACGCTCCAATTTCACCTCGACAAAACCATGCTGACTGTTTCTGATTACCAGAATGTTTTCTAATTATTTAGCAATGATCACTTTAATGCGAGTCTATAGTACCTTCCCCATAACATACGTTAAACTAATTGGTCTATGGTTTCCTATTTTTTCCTATCTCCCTCTTGAATTATGGTTGTTTATATTTATTTTTACTACTTTCCTGTCTGACAGAACAAAGACATGCAAGTTAGGTGGATTGACCATTCCAAACTGCCCACAGTGTTCAGGGTGTAGGTGGGTTAGCCATGAGAAGTGCAGGATTACAGGGATTGGGGCGCGGTGAATGGGTCTGGATGGGTTGCTCTTCGGAAGGTCGGTGTGGACCCATTGGGCCAAATGGCCTGTTTCCACACTGTAGGGATTCTATGGAATTCTGTGGAATTCTAGGAACATTTTCTGAACCTAGAGAATTTTGGAAAATTTACATCAATGCATCAAATACCTTATTAACAAGCTTTTTTAAGACACTAGGATGATGTCCATCAGAAACCAAAGAGTTGATGCATTGCATCTCCAGCAGTTTGCTTAAATACCACTTTTCTCACAATTATAGTTTTGCTAAGTTCTCTCTCTGCCACTGCCAATTTACAACTACTAATAGATTTTTTTATGTATCCTGTATAAAAGGAAAACATTTGTTCATTTCATCCAACATTTCCTTCTTATCTATTATCTCCACAACTTCACTCTCCAAAGGACCTACACACATTTTCCTTAGTCTTTTCCTCTTCAAATACATATAGAACCTCTTACTATGATTTTTACATTCTTAGCTAGCTTCCTGTCATTGTCCGATTTCTTCCTCCTGATTAATCCAAAGGTACAGATCTCAATTTCTCCAATACAAGCTCTGGTGTCACATGCATCACAGTCAACTTCTCCCACACCAGCCTTTGAACTATGATATCATTTCTTTGATCTTATTTACCTTATGCCAATTAGCTTGTGGCTGAGATATTGACCAAGAAATTATTATCTTTGAGGTTCTGCTTTTTAACTTAGTGTGTATCTCTTCCTACAGTTTATGCAGAACCTTTTTCCTTGTTTCCCTTTTGTCATTAGTAGCTACATTGACCACAGCCACTGGATCCTCCCTTAATCCTGAAAGCTTTATTCCAGCCTGAACTCACGTCCTGAACTGTGACACCAGGCAGGCAAGCCCGAAACGTCAAGCTTCCTGCTCCTCTGATGCTGCTTGGCCTGCTGTGTTCATCCAGTTCTACACCTTGTTATCTGGACTCTCAATGTTTGGTGCAGTGAATGTTATCAGTTGCCCTCATGAATATCACTGATCACAAATGCATTCTTTATCACAAGAGCATCTTGCCAGTTTCATGCCACCTCTCCTATCATTCAAACAGGCTGAGAGAACCTTAAAGCTATTGGATAGATACAAAGGCTGACACTCCTGCACTTTTGTTCACCGTATCCCCTTATCAGCTCACTTGCAGTCACACCCACTTGTCCCTGACCACTGACCTAATCAGAAGACCCAATTCTACATGAGTATAAATACTTTCTGTTATAAAGAAACCAGGCAACTTTACCTTTCCCTGGTTTTTACAGTGCCCATTGTTCAGCCTTAACTCCTAAAATCAGGTCTGCAGGTTGGGTCCAACCAGTTCCGTGATTACTCATATGTCAGTCAGGAAGCTTTACAAAGCTCTGTTGGAGGTCTAGCTAAGCATCAGTCTGTACCGTCACTCCAAGTCAATCAGAGGCCACAAAATCCTAGCACCAGCAAGCAGTTCTGCTGCTTGACTGCAAAATTGCATGAGACTGGTACTGCTGAGTTCTGTACTTAATGAAGTGAGGGCTGTAAACTGAGAGAAAAAACTCATTAGAGATCACCAAGAAAAACCCTTCATGAAACTTCCTGAAACTCACACTTAGCCAAATTTTTGGAAGTTTCAATCCACCCTTCCTGATTTCATTACCAAATAGCTTAGCTCTAATTTTACTGTTATATTTATGTGTTCTTAATTTTGCTGCCAGAGGAAATATTTCGTATAAACCTAATGGATTAATAAAATTAAAACAACAAAGGAACCAATGTTATTGATAAGAGAATGTTAATCCCTCAGTCACCCTGAAAACTGATTGACAGAAATTGCTTGCCATGATTAGTCAACAACATTATTACTGTATCATGTGCGTGGCAGAACTTCAGAAGTGAAGGCAAATGATACTTGGACTATATTAACTAATTTTACCACTCCAGTTTCTCATTTTGTAGATGCTAGATTATTCATTAATTAAATGCTACAAGATAATTTCTATTTAATCCGGTGTTTGATATTGCTTATTGTCATCAGATGTACAAATTTTAACAAAACTAGGTTTATTTATTTTTGCTTTATTCTTTGTTTTCATGCAGGAAGCATATACAATCCTGAATAAGTATCAAGTCGAAATTTCAAAGGAGGAAGCAGAAGGATCTGACACTCTTACGTATTCTTTCAACAAAATGCAGGTCAAAGCTGTGAGTATTTACCTTGAACTAACACAGAATTCAGAACGAATTAATGTTAAATTTGTGAAAATACTTCAGGAAGAATATTTAATTATATTCTGAATGAATATTAATTTAATGTTATTAGTAATTTAATAATATTAATTTAATATTATTGCACATATTCTTTATTACATGGATAGAAGACCTGACAGAAGGTATGCTGGAAACACCAGCATATGTCCGAAGCACTCAGAATGCGATGAGCAGTAAATAAAAACCAGAAGGACTGTGGATGCTGTAAATCAGGAACAAAACCAGAAGTTGCTGGAAAAGCTCAGCAGGTCTGGCAGCATCTGTGAAGAAAAAAATCAGAGTTAACATTTCAGGTCCAGTGACCCTTCCTCAGAATTGATGGTAGCTGGGAAAATGTTGGTTTATTTGCAGAAAATAGGATGGGGAATGGGGTAGGGAATAAATAATAGGATAAAGCCCAAAGAGAGAGAAGAGCAGTTGGATAGACAAAGAAGTTGATAACGATATGGCTGGGAGGGTGAATAGTTGTTAATGGGGACTGTTAGTGACCAACAATAGGTAGTGTGTAATGACAGGTTTTGTGATAAAAAGACCTGGTGTGTGGGGTAGGGGGCTAGGACATGGGAGAGTTTAGGCCCTAAAATTCTAACTGCAGGGTCCCCAAGCGGAAAATGAGATGTTGTTGTTCCAGCTTGCGTTGAGCTTCACTGGAACACTGCAGCAAGCCAGAGACAGAGATGTTGGCCAAGGAACAGACTGGTGTGTTAAAGTGGCAGGCAATTAGAAGCTCAGGGTCTTTTTTGCGAGCAGAACACAGATGTTCTGGAAGCAGCCACCCAGTCTACACTTTGTTTCCCCAGTGTAGAGGAGACCACATTATGAGCACCAAATACAGTAGACTAGATTTTGGGAAGTGCAGGTGAAGTATTGCTTCACCTGGAAGGTATGTTTGGGCCCTTGGATAGTGGGGAGGGAGGAGGTAAATGGGCAGGTGTTGCACCTTTGCCAGTGGCAGGAGAAGGTGCTGTGGGACCACGGGGAGTGTTGGGGATGAAGAAAGAGTGTACCAGGGTGTCCCAGAGGGAATGGTCCCTGCAGAAGGCAGACAAGGGAGGGAAGGGGAATATGTGTCTGGTGTGGCATCTCACTGGAGGTAGTAGAAATGGCATCTGATGATCTTCTGGATGTGGATGCTGGTGGGGTGGTACGTAAGGAAAAGGGGAAACCTATCGCCGATGTGGGAGGGAAGAGAAGGCGGAGGGCAGAAGTGCGGGAGATGGGTCGGACCCAGTTGATAATCCTGTCGACAACGGAGCTGGGGATTCCTCGGTTGAGGAAGAAGGTGGACATATTGGAGGCTCCCTTGTCGAAGTTGGCTTCATCTGAACATACGGGACGGAGACTGAGGAACTGAGAGAATGGGATGGAGTCTTTACAGAAAGCAGTGTGGATGTATAGTCCAGGTAGCTGTGGGAGTCAGTGGGTTTACAGTGGATATTAGTGGCCAGTCTATCCCCAGAAATGGAAACAGAGATGTCAAGAAAGGAAAGGGAGGAGTCAGAGATAGACCAGGTGAAAATGAGGGTAGGGTGGAAATTGGAGTCAAAATCAATGAACATTTCCAATTCTAGACAAGAGAGGGAAGCAGCACCGATGATATCAGAGAAAGAGGTGTGGGTGGGGGCCGGAATAGGACTGTAACAAGGAATGTTTCATGTACCCCACAAAGAGATAGGCAAAGGGGTGGCCATGGGTACCCACAGCCATCCTTGGTAAAGAGTTCCACAATTCACTCCCCTCCGAAGGAAGAAATTCCTCCTCATCTCTGTCTTAAAAACCTTATTCTGAATGCCCTCTGATCCTAAAGACTCTCCCACAAGGGGAAACAACCTGTCCATATCTACCCTGTCAAGTCTCAAAAGGATCTTAGCAGACACACGATGGTGTGTAGTTAAGGCAAATTTACAGGTGGTGTTCTTTTGGATCATAAAGGTCATAATTTTTGGAAGGGTCTATCAAAGGCACCATGGTGAATTTCTGAAGTGCATTTTGTACATGGTCTACACCATTGCTACCCTCTGTCATTGGTGAAGGAAGTGAATGTTGTTGGTAAAGGATGGAATGCCAATCAAGTGGGCTGCTTTGTCCTGGATAGTAGTGGGTTACTTGAGGATTTTTTGAGCTGCTGTCACCAGGCAAATGGAGAGAATTCCATCACACTGCTGACCTGTATGTTATGGTTAGTGAACAGGCTTTAGAGAAACAGGAGGTGAGTTACATGCCAAAGAATTCCTCACCTTTGAACTCTTTGGTGCTAATATAGCTTGCCACTTGTCAGCACAAGTTTGGATGTTGTTCAGGTTTTGTTGCACTTGTACATGGACTACTTCAGTATCTGAGTATCACAATTAGTGCTGGTTATTGTGCAGACACCACTGAACATCCCCACTTCAGACCTTGTTTTGGAGTGCCCATCAAGTGAGCATTTTAATAAATTCAAATGGAAATGTCTATTCACATTAGTGTTTGATCACTTAATTAAAATATTTATTTTCATAAGGGATTGCACACTAAAGTTAACTATTTTCATAAGGGTTTAGTTCAAGCAATTTTGAGTTATTTTTCTATCAAGAGTGATTTCTTTCAGTACTAACATGATCAAAGACAGATAACTTTATTTTCTGTCGGCATGCATGAGGTATGCTTAGAGTCATACAGCACGTAAACAGACCCTTCAGTCCAACCAGTCCATGCCGAACATAATCCCAAACTAAATTAGTCCCATCTGTCAGCTCCTGGCCCATATCCATCCAAACTTTTCCTATTCACGCACTTATCCAAATGTCTTTTAAATGTTGTAATTGTACCCACATCCGCCACTTCCTCTGTGTAAAAAATTTGTCCCTCATGACTTTTTAAAATCTTTCTGCTCTCACCTTAAAAGCCCCCCTCACCCCAGTTTTGAAATCCCACATTCCAGGGAAAAGACAACTACCATTAACTCTATCTATACCCCTCATTATTTTATAAACTTCTAGAAGGTCACCTCTCAACTTCCTACCCTCCAGTGAAAAATGTCCCAGCCCATTCAACTTTTCCTTGTAACTCAAACCGTCCATACATGGCAACATCCTGGTAAATCACTTCTGAATCCTTTTCAGCTTAGCAATATCCTTCCCAGAGCTGGGCGACCAGAACTGGACACATATTCCAGAAGAGCCCTCACCAATGTCCTATACAACTTCCTAACTCTTATACTCAAAGGATTGAGCAATGAAGACAAGCATGCCAAATGCCTTTTTAACCACCCTTTCTGTATGTGATGCAAACTTCAAAGAATTATGAACCTGTACCCCCAGGTCCCTCTGTTCTACAACACTACCCAAGGCCCTACCATTAATTGTATAAGCCCTACCCTTGTTTCATGTACTAAAATGTAATACCTCACATTTATCCAGATTGAAGTTCATCTGCCATTTTTCAGTCCATTGATCCATTTGATCAAGATATTTTTGTAATCTTAGAAAACCTTCTTCACTGTGTACTATTCCACCAATTTTGGTGCCTTCCACAAACATGCTCACAGTGCCTTCTATATTCTCATCCAAATCATTTGTATAAATGACAAACAAAAGAGGACCCCAAACTGATCTCTGTGGAACACTGATGGTGACAGTCCTCCAGTCTGAAAAGCAACCCTCTGCCACTACCCTGTCTCCACCACCCTGTCTCCTGCCTTATAGTGGATAATGTGAGAGTTTGGATGTGGACAGAAGGAGGTATTAGTTGGTGGGTGGACCATAAAAGGTATGAAGGCCCATAGGCGATGGATTGATGCGTATGGAATCGAATTGATTTGATAGGGTAGGCGATGGCCTAGTGGTATTATTGCTAGACTATTAATGCAGAAACCTACCTGATGTTCTGGGGACCTGAGTTCGAATCCCACCACGGCAGATGGTGGAATTGGAATTCAAAGACAAAATCTGGAATTAAGAATCTACTGATCACCATGAAATCATTGCCGATTGCTAGAAAAACCCGTCTGGTTCACTAATGTCCTTCAGGGCCACCCTCACCTGGTCCGGCCTACATGTGATTCCAGACCCATAGCAATGTGGTTGACTCTCAACTGCCCTCTGAAATGGCCTAGCAAGCCACTCAGTTATACCAATCGCTACAAAGACTCAAAGAAATGAAACTGGACGGATCACCTGGCATCGACCTAGGCATCGGAAAAGACAATGGCAGAAACAGCCCTGCCGACCATGCAAAGTCTTCCTCACTAACATCTGGGGGTTAGTGCCAACATTGGGAGAGCTGTCTCAGACTAGTCAAGCAATAGCCTGACATAGTCAAACTCACAGAATCATACCTTACAAATAATGTCCCAGACACCACCATCACCATCCCTGGAAAATGTCCTGTTTCACCAGCAGGACAGACCTAGCAGAGGTGGCGGCACAGTGGTATACAGTCGGGAGGGTGTTGCTCTAGGAGTCCTCAACATTGACTCCGGATCCCGTGAAGTCTCATGGCTTCAAGTTAAACATGGGCAAGGAAACCTCCTGCTGATTACCACATACCGTCTTCCCTCAGCTGATGAATCAGTACTCGTCAATGTTGAACAACACTTGGAGGAAGCACTAAGGGTGGCAAGGGCACAAAGTGTACTCTGGGTGGGGGATTTCAATGTCCATCTCCAGGAGTGGCTCGGAAGCAATACTACAGATTGAGCTGGTCGAGTCCTAAAGGATGTAGCTGCTAGACTGGGTCTGCAGCAGATGGTGAGGAAATCAACAAGAGGGGAAAAACATACTTGACCTCATCCTTACTAATCTGCCAGCTGCAGTTGCATTTGTCCATGACAGTATCGGTAAGAGTGACCATCGCACAGTCCTTGTGGAGACAAAGTCCCGCCTTCACATTGAGAACAACCTACATCGTGTTGTGTGGCACTATCACAGTGCTAAATGGGACTGATGTTGCACAGA